TATATCAAATATAATAAAATTTATTCATCAGCAACTAATTTCTCTAATGAAGATTCAAATCTTTTAAATACTAATTACAATAAGATAACATTATTTCCTGCTGAAGATTTCAATGCCAAGTTTCACTCGGAAAAATCTCTAACATTGATTGATTTTTTAGACAATAAACTAAATTAAACAAAGCATAATTCGCTTCAAACCAATCATATCATATTTGAAGTATGATAGTAATTGTTTTAAAATGTACTATTCATTGTCATCTTGTATAATAGCAAAAAAGCTTTATAGTGCAGTAAACGGAGAGGAAAAAAGGGTATAACCTCTGAATTTTTTTACTGTGCTCCGAATTTCATGAAATTTTGGAATTAGGTTCATCTTACCCTCAAATTCAAAAGTGGAAACAATTCGGGTTGCGCCATCACCCCCCGGGGGATGACCCCCCTTCTCAATTGTGTAATTACATTTTTTTAAAATAACGTCGGAAATCGATAGAAGAGCTAATTATAATAAAAAAATGTCTTCTATAGTTTTTCAAAAAAACTAATACTTTTCAAGTTACTGGCCACTAAAGATTCATATATTTTTGGCGTTTTTCTTCGTCTTTTTACAAATATCTCCTAAATTATACATTTTAACGAAATTCATGTAATGAACAAAATAATGTCAATAAAAATCTTAATAAATCGGTATTACATAAAGTGTTCTAGGAAAAATATTAAGCAAGATTTGAAAGAGCAAATTCGTTTTTTATTTCGTTCAAGATTTAATTGTTGTATTTAAAGCCATCTAGTGTCGAGGTTTTACATTTTATGCATTTCGGTGAAATTGGGTTTTATAGTGCTCAACATAAGCTTTAAAATGAGTGCTGTTACAAGTTTTTTGCGTGTAAAATGAGTGAGCTATCATGCAAATAAGAAGGCATATACGAAGTTTTTTTCTTTAAAATCATATAGTTTAATGAGCGCCATTTCCACCAGAATGAAAGTAATTCACATTCCATCTAGAATTCACTTCATTATAGACATCTTGATAGATTCTAGTAGATTCACTACTTTAGTACAAACTATTTTCAGAAAACTCACGATTTTATAAAAACTTTTTTTTTCAATTTTTTTAAAAATCGAAATTATTTCCATTATATCTCAAAAAGAATAAAAGATACGTATAAAAGCTTATAGATAAAAATCAAAGGAATCTTTCTGGCTTATTATTGTTTTTTATTATTTTTCTTTCACACAAAAATTGACAGAGTTATGAATGTTTAAAGACTGCGCGACCGCGCAAATTGGAAAAAAAAGTTTTTATAAAATCGTGAGTTTTCTGAAAATAGTTTGTACTAAAGTAGTGAATCTACTAGAATTCATTAAGATGTCTATAATGAAGTGAATTCTAGATGGAATGTGAATTACTTTCATTCTGGTGGAAATGGCGCTCATTAAACTATATGATTTAAAAGAAAAAAACTTCGTATATGCCTTCTTCTTTGCATGATAGCTCACTCATTTTACACGCAAAAAACTTGTAACAGCACTCATTTTAAAGCTTATGTTGAGCACTATAAAACCCAATTTCACCGAAATGCATAAAATGTAAAACCTCGACACTAGATGGCTTTAAATACAACAATTAAATCTTGAACGAAATAAAAAACGACTTTGCTCTTTCAAATCTTGCTTAATGTTTTTCCTAGAACACTTTATGTAATACCGATTTATTAAGATTTTTATTGACATTATTTTGTTAATTACATGAATTTCGTTAAAATGTATAATTTAGGAGATATTTGTAAAAAGACGAAGAAAAACGCCAAAAATATATGAATCTTTAGTGGCCAGTAACTTGAAAAGTATTAGTTTTTTTGAAAAACTATAGAAGACATTTTTTTATTATAATTAGCTCTTCTATCGATTTCCGACGTTATTTTAAAAAAATGTAATTACACAATTGAGAAGGGGGGTCATCCCCCCGGGCGGTGATGGCGCAACCCGAATTGTTTTCACTTTTGAATTTGAGGGTAAGGTGAACCTAATTCCAAAATTTCATGAAATTCGGAGCACAGTAAAAAAATTCAGACCTAAAACGCTCCGTTTACTGCACTATTACTAAAATTGCATGTGAAAGATTACGCGCAATCTTTTTTTTTTGAAAAAATGCCAACTGTGAAACTGGATTTTTTGCTGTTCCAAACTATTTGCACCCAATGGTTTAAATTTTTATGTTTATACAAAACAAACTGAAATTTTCAAATATTTAAAATATAATATTTTTTTAATTAATAAATAATTTCAATATTTCTCAAATATATATAAGAATATTTACTTGAAAAAATTAATTATTTTTTAAATACATAATTTGGATGTTTTTCTGTTTATATATGATAAATGTATATTAACTAAAAGTTTTAAGTACATCAACCGATAATTTCGTACCAAAAATTCTGAACATTTTATATAGATATACCTATTGAAGAAATGTAATAAACGATATCATGTTGCCTTAAGGCTATAAAACGTCTGTTTTATATTTATCGGGAATGTCTTTTTTATGTCTCATTATGACATCGAAATTTTTTTCGGCAAACAATGCACAAATACAAACTGAGTTTTTAATATGCGATCATATTTTCTGTTTTCTTTATTTTTGCACCCAAATAGTTTAACAGCATATTATATTTTAGATTATTTTTACCTTCGTTCGTTTTATTTATTTATATATTAAAGTTTCAACAGTATAAATTTAAGATATTGTTATTGATTGACAAAGTTTTGCATGAACAAATCATATTGAATAATTGGCACAATATGAGGATATACATTTTTGCTATTAATACAAGATAATAATAGTATGAAATAATATCAAATAAATTCGCAATCAAGATGATTGGAATGATTAGAACTATTATTTAAATAGGTTTTTTACTCACTCTAATTTGTCGAGAAGCAGTGATTTTGAACTTATTACAGTAAATTTTTTCTTCTAGACAAGTTCTAAATTTGTTCTGAACAACTTCTGTTTGGCAATGAGCAACGATCCTTGTTGCCAACAATTCTAAAAATCTAAAACATAAATAATTTCGTTCAACCGGAGAACTCACCGTGCCTTTACAAAAATATAATCAATTCTTAATTCCGTCAGTACAAGTAAGATTGTATCTCTCTTTGAATCATTCTAATTAGATGTTTTGTTCTCTCAAAAACCAAATTATTAAATTAATTTTTTTGCACTTTTTGCCTTGTACCTTCGAAACATCTAGACTTGCCTTACTAAAAATTAATCATCACGTTTTCTCTTCAATCCAAAACGAATGCTTTTTAATCATTCATATTAGTTGATCAGTGCTCTAAAAAATGTGGACACACACACATACGTCTAATTTTTCTAAGGTTTGCAAATTGTTCAGAATGCTTTGAAACTTAAAGATATATACAAATTTTCTAAAGTAAATTTTCTAAAGTAAAACCTGAATACGCAGTATTAGTATGGAATCTTGATGTACAAGCTAGCCATATCAACACCACTCTCATATGCTTATTTATCTATGACCACTCTTTCATACTGACCGATAAATTTCTCCATTGCATGAACAAGTAAAAAATGTTTCAAAGTTACAATTTAAAAATCAACCCTACTACAACGAGAAATCAAATGATGTTAAGATAAATCAAATATCAAACTAGTTGGAAATGGCATTTAACCTTAAGGCAAGTTGCATGAACTTTCCGAAATATGTAATAATTGACTTAATCAACCGAATTTGAGATTTAGATATTTAGATAAAATTTTCAACTATTTATTTGGAAAATAAAGTTATCGCTATCAATTGTATCTAAACATGTCTATTTTCAATTGATTGATACCAGTGCTTGTATGTCCTAAAATTGTAGCTTATTATTTTAAATTTTAATGAATTGATAATGTTTGGGTAATCACATCACAAAACCAACTTTTGACACAAATTTTGAGTATAATATTTTTTCAAACTTTGATGAATTTAAACTACTTGCCGTCGAAACGTAAAATTTTAGTATATTCTTCAGGACCATGATATATATTAACATAAAAAGTTTCATTAAAAAATTGTTTTTCAACAGTTAGTTACAAAGAAACGGCTTGACCGATCTTTGTCCAAAACTAATCAGCACAACTCCCAAATAATATCTTTCGAATAGTTTTTGAATTATTAAAATCGGTTCAAAATTTTTGGCTAAAATGCAGACGAAAACTTTTTCAATTTTCTGCTAATTACAAGAAAAACGGCTTAGCCGATTGTATCAAGAATCTAACCGACGCAAGTGCTTATCAAGTTTCATTACATGGTTTTAAAATTTTTAAAATCGACTCAACCGTTTTTGAGAAAACGTCGATGAAAAGTCTTATTTTAACAAACGCCAAAAAATGCGACCAATTTTTTCAAACTTTGAAGAATTTTCAAAGTTGAACGAGTTGTCGTAGGGCCGTAATATTTTAGTATGATCTAGCAGACCATGATACCAATCGCAAAAAAAAATCATGAAAGTCTTTTTTCAGCAGTTAAGTACTAGAACACGTGCCAGCGAATCTCTACCAAAAACTAATCAGTATCTTTCCCAACTAATATCTTTCGAACAGTTTTTGAATTTTTAAAATCGATTCAGAATTGCGGCTAAAACGTGAATGAGAATGTTTTCACTCTGCTATTTACAAAGAAACGGCTCGGCCGATCATCGCACAAAACTGATAAACGCTAGTCCTGATCAAGATGCATCGAATGGCTTTTAAATTTTTGAAATCGATACAGCCGTTTTTGAGAAAACATCAATTTACGTTTGAAAATTTGATCACGCACACGCACACACACACATACTTTTTCCAAATTTTTTCTCTTTCGATTCAGAATGGCTTGAAACGCCGAGAAAACATAAAATTAGTGAATCGATTTTTTTATGAAAACATAAACTTCTCCTTCTGGAAGTTATTAACAAATGTAGAGAAACTAAAGCTCAATATCCTTTTCGTTTCAGGTGGTCCCGGTAGCGGTAAAGTGACCCACTGCGATAACCTGATGCAGGAGAAGCGAGGCGTGACGCACATAAACATGACTGATTTGCTGCAGCAGTACGCGATCGGCAACGGTGAGATACCGCCGCACAGACAAGACGGTAAAACGCGGTGCCCTGTAAAAAGTTTTGCACTGGTTTCTTGTGGGTTTGTGCCTTTTGCTTTAGTTTGAAGATGGTCTACTAAAAACAGTCTGAAAAGATAAGTTGTACTGCATGCATAGAATTTTGAAAATGACACGTGAAATCTGATAACGGTGATCAGATATGATACCATGCGGAGTCTACGAGATCATATTTATGTTTCGTTAATTGCTCATGCTTTAAGTATCACCAAGCATTTTTATCACAATTATTTAGTATATTATATTTAATATACGCAACTAAAATATATTAAATGAAAAGACAAAGATTAAAAGACAAATTTTACCTGCAATATTGATCTGTTATCCATAATACTATTTTTTCATCAAAAGCAAAGTGTGAATGTATAAATGTGTATATATGTAAGCCGATTTTTGACCTTTTGTCGACGTTTTCCCAAAAACGGCCGAACGGATTTCAACAATTTGAAAGCCATTCGATGTATCTCGATGAGGACATTAGTTTGCGCGCTGATTGGCCAAGTCGTTTCTTTGCATTTAGCAAAAAAGTGTAAAATTCTTTGGCCACGTTTCAGCCCACAATCCTAAATTGATTTTTCAAAAACTGTTCGAAAGGTATTGGTTGGAAATCGTCCTGATTAGTTTTTGGTAAAGATCGGCCGACCCGTGTTTTTGTAATTTCAACGTTTTCTCAAAAACGGCCGAACGGATTTCAACAATTTGAAAGCCTTTCGATGTATCTCGATGAGGACATTAGTTTGCGCGATGATTGACCTAGCCGTTTCTTTGCATTTAGCAAAAAAGTGTAAAATTCTTAGGCCACGTTTCAGCCCACAATTCTAAATTGATTTTTCAAAAACTGTTCGAAAGGTATTGGGTGGAAATCGTCCTGATTAGTTTTTGGTAAAGATCGGCCGACCCGTGTTTTTGTAATTAACTGTTGATTTTTTTGACGATTTTTATGATTTTTTTTGACGATAGATATCATGGTCTTATAGATTATACTGAAATATTACGACTTTACGACAAGTAGAGTCATCAGACCGTTTTCTTGTAATTAACGGTTGGAAAAATATTTGTTGTTGATTTTTATGAAAATTTGTTTGACGGTAGATATCATGGTCTTAGAGAACCATAATAAAATATTTCGGCTTTACGACAAGTCGTTCAATTTAAAAAATCATCAAAATTTGAAAAAAAAAAATTGCTGCGGTTTTTAAGGTTTGTTAATAATGTTATCTTCACGTTTCAAAGGGTTCTGATCATTTTGGCACACCGTAGAAGAAATGGATGTATGTATGCGTGTGTGTGGGTGACGATTTCGGAAACACGAATCAACCGATTTGAATAATTCAAAAAAACATTCGATTCGTATTGATAAGGAAATGTGCTCAATAGTTTTTGGCAAAGGCAGGTCTAGCCGTTCCGAACATACGGGGCAAAAAGTGCCAAAAATGGTAATTCAGTTATTGAGACAACGGAGCGTCCAATTTGAATAATTTAAAAACATTTTATTTGTATTGACTAAACAAAGTACTGCTAAAGTTTTGAAAAGGTGCGGCTAGTGGTTTCGGAAATCCAATAAAAATGTGAATTATGCAATTTGGCGGACAATAATGATCATTAGTCATATACACAATAAATTACCAGTTATTTTAATAATAAGAATAAATTTTATTTACATTTATATGGGTTCCGTATTAATGTTTATTCGTTAGACTGCGTTGATAGTTTGTTTCAACGCAGCTAACGTATCGCGATTGTTTGAAAAAAAGCTCAAAATTTCCAAAATATTTCAAAGAATTAAAATAATATTTTTTTAAAAAGGTCAATTGTTTTCAAAATTTTTAAAATTCTCAAAAATCTATTTTTTTTCAAAGTTCTAAAAAAAATTGAATATTTTTTAAAAATTTTGGATTCCAACTGAATCGTGTGAGACTTAGCATGTGAGTCGAGGACGCTACTGAATGTGCTATTCCCGCCATAACTTTGTCACAATTTTCTGTAAAAAGCCATTAGTATGCTTCCCCTCGTTCATTTTCATTTAAAATGTAGATAGCAGGTTGCACAATAAATCAAACTTGTTTGCTATCAATATTCTGTAATTAGCAGAACTAGAATTGTCATGCAAAAATCAGATTTGAATGTCGCATGCAAAATAATGCATGTTTCTGGAAACCACGTGCCATATGAAAATCACATTAAATTCATTATGATGTAAACCTCAAACTTTACAATATTTATCAAGTTTAGCTCCGAAACGCATAAGTAACAATAAACAATAATCATAATAATATCGATAGTACACATTAATAAACTTCGATTATCACCAAAACTTGAATACAAATTGCAATTCGTCAATTAATTCTGAATAGAAAGGTGCGCGATCATTATCATGAAGGATTGTGGTCATTAATCGATTGAATGCTATATATTTCGTAGTAAATAGTCTATTCGATTTTTGTGTAGGCATCGGAAAATAAATGATAGTAAAGATGATGAATTTAATGATAATATTTCTTATTTTTTTCAATTTTTTTAAACACGTGTGCGCTCTTGATAGAGCATTTGCATATGTTTAATTCATGTCGTTTTCAATCAAAGCAAATAATATGAAATATATGATTTTATTGATATTCTGGACATTTCAATAAATTAGTCAACTCAATACATTCAAACAGTGACAATGATAAAGCTTCGGAATCATCGCCAAAAAGTTCTAATTTGAAATTCTGGGTCTTAAAATGACAGATCAAAAACAAATTTTAAGTAAAACTGCCATTATCTCAAAACCAAGTAAATTATGGCACTTTTTACCGATATATTTCAAAGCAGATGACACAAGATGTGCAACGAGCCAGGGTTGCGCCGCCATCTAACGGATAAGCATTGGTACAAAACCCATAGGAATGTAAACAAAATTTATACTTATTGTTAAAATCTCTATAAAATATCTGATAATTTGATGTGCATATGTCTAATGATCATTTTTGACCGCCAAATGGCATGTTTTTTTACTTTTTTCGTTAGATCTCCGAAACCGCTATACTTGCCTTCATGAAAATTTGATCAGCTCTTCATCCTGTTAATACAAGTAAAATGTTTCAAATCGGACGCTCCGTTCTCTCAAAAACTGAGTTACCGTTTTTGGCACTTTTTGCCCCAAATATTCGGAACGGCCAGACCTGCCTTCGCCAAAAACTAATCAGCATGTCTCCTTATCAATACGAATCGAATGTTTTTTGAATTATTCAAATCGCTTCATCCGTGTTCCCGAAATCGTCGATGAAAATTTGTATCCGAACACACATACACACACACATACATCCTTTTTTTCTAAGGTATGCCAAAATATTCAGAAACCTCCGAAACGTAAAGATATATAAAATTTTTCATTTTCGATTTTTTTGCGATTACTATAACTCACCCTACGGGAAGTTAATAAGTTGATAAAGCAATTTTACAAGATATATTAAACTCTAATAATAATTGATAAATCTAAGATAAATTTATAAAATGAGTTGCTAGTTATTTGTAGGTTACACGATCAGCATTAGTGCTTACTGTTAAATTAAATTGAAATTTAAGTATTTAAGAGTTAGACAAAAGTTAGACAAGAAGTCAGATTTCGAGTCAGGCATAGAATTAGTCTGGCTTAGTATTTAGTAAAATGTAGTCTTTGCTGATATAATAACCAGAGGGTTATCAACAAATATTAATTGTGAAAATAGTGAATAATAAAAGTAGCATCTCAAGAAGAATTGTGTTTCAAATTACTATCAAATCGCTGTTTGTCCTAAAAAGCCTTTTCAGAAGTGTATTCAGAAGAGTCCACTGGCACTGATCAACTGTTCACGCTCGGGGCCAAAACTTTGATTGAACTGCGCTCTATCTAAAAGACAATATTAAGAGCTAAAACTTTCAGAGAATTGTTTTTTATCAATTTAGAACCATTTGAGCCCTTGGGAGCAAGGAAATTCGAAAATGTTTATATGTATATATATATATATATATATATATATATATATACTATACATACATATATGTATATGAGGGTAGTCCTTAACAAGGATATTTTCGAATTTCTTTGCTCCTAAGGGCGCCAATGCTGCCAAATGAATAAAAAATGAATCTCTAATAGTATTAGCTCTTAATATAAACACTTAAACACTAATTAAATCCTATTCATCAAGGAATCAAGATTAATTTTGCAGCAAAATATTTATTTAATTGGTGATGTTGAAACTCAAATTATTATTTTGATTCCATGATGAATAATTATTATAGAATAGCCCACATGGGTTTAATTAATGGTTAAGTGGTTTATAAATATTCTTATGTGTCATAATATTTGAGATGTAAGAGCTTTTAAAGTAGGCGACCAAAGGTTTTGCACACTTATATTTGTTTACTTAATGTAAACATATGAATAAGTTCATCATAGTTTTTTGTATCGTTCAAATCGGTTAATCTGTGCGTTTGAAATCGAGGATGAAAAATTGTATCTAAACATGCATATAAACACACACATACAATCATTTTTTGTAAGGTATGCCAAAATGTTCAGAAACCTTTGAAACGTAAAGACATGCAATCTTTTCATTTTCGATTTTTTGCGATTCCTATAACTTCACTATAATTACTGTACCAAATCGAACATACGTATCTAATCATCTTTATTGACATTTACAATGCCAAAATTTTCAGCAACTATACAAAATTTCTCTAATAATGAAATTATCCACCTACTTGCTACTAGTTAATTGCATAAAAATTATCACATAACAGACAAAAAATGATTACGGGTTATTAATAAATAATATTAATAATTTGGACCGTTGTCATAGGTGTATCCTGCTATTTAATTCTGTTATAAAAACACCTAAATTAACGAACTCACATTTACATACAAGCTTTTCCCTACCGTGTGCGTGTGGACTCGAAAATCGAAAAACATACCGATTGCCAAGG